GAAAGATACAATATAAGCGAAGATACCATACTGAAATGTCAGTAATTAATGAAAAAGTGTATTTAAATGTCTAAGAATGGGACTTTTTATATTGGATTTTTTATGACAGATGATGCAAAAATACTGAAACTAAATAATAATATACGGAAAAAGTGAGTACAAACGTTTTTATTAGTGATGAATGACAGATGTCTGATTTTTAGGGTAGAAATGCTAAATATAAAAGCAATCGGTAATTACTTTCTAAAAATAAATGAGGCCTTTTTATTGGATTTAACGAGTCATACGAGAGAGAAGATGATGCAAAAATACTGAAACTAAATAATAATATACGGAAAAAGTGAGTACAAACGTTTTTTAATAGTGACACATGACAGATGTCATATTTTTAGGATAGAAATGCTAAATATAAAAGCAATCGATAATTACTTTCTAAAAATGAATGAGGCCTTTTTATTGGATTTAACGAGTCATACGAGACAGAAGATGATGCAAAAATACTGAAACTAAATAATAATATACGAAAAAAGTGAGTACAAACGTTTTTTAATAGTGACAGATGACAGATGTCATATTTTTAGGATAGAAATGCTAAATATAAAAGCAATCGATAATTACTTTCTAAAAATGAATGAGGCCTTTTTATTGGATTTAACGAGTCATACGAGACAGAAGATGATGCAAAAATACTGAAACTAAATAATAATATACGAAAAAAGTGAGTACAAACGTTTTTTAATAGTGACAGATGACAGATGCCATATTTTTAGGTTAAAAAGAATATTGAATAGACATACAAAAACCTGTAGAGACGACAATGGTTGGATAGCTGCGATTTTTTAGGTTGATAGCTTGAAAAAAAGAGAAGGTAATAATAAATGTTTTACAGATGATTTTCCAGGTTGAAAATCTTAAATGCGAAAATAATCGAGTACAAACGAAGATGGTATATTGTAATTGTTGTATTTATTTTTAATAAAGATTAAGACGATGACACGACAATAACGTACTACGCAGGTTTACATACGATAATGGACGAAGAGTATTTTGTTACCTTTTTACCATCGACAATAAACGTATAGTATTTTTATTGTACTTGTAAGTAATAAGGAAACGACGATGATGTATGACTACAATACGAACAATACCTATGCGTTTTTCTTTCTCAAATACTGAACTTTTGACTGCTACCTTCCCGTATTCAGAGATCCAGAAAAGTAATGTCTCCTTGGTTATTACATTTTCTGTACTAACCAACTATGGCCCCTTTGGTAATGCAGCACCGTGTATTCTTTAAAGATTTCTACGATTTTCCATTCTTTTTTCTATGAATTTCTACAAATATCACCCTTTTAACGTTTCACTCTTCCTTTTCTTCTTCTTCAGTAGTTTTTTGTTCTTCGTCTTAGGCCTGTACTGGCTTCTACATCATCTTAGGTCTTCACTGCTCTCTGTATGATTTCTTAGTATTTTTTTATACCTTTTTGGTTTCCCCCTTCCTAGCATTTTGACATTTGACATTGTTTACTTACTTAGCAATAGATAGATACAAATTTTTATGATTTTATCCTTTACCGTATATTTGTCTTCTCTTTCCGTCTGCCTGTCCTTTTATCTGTATTTTTGTCTGTCTATCCGTTTGTCTACCTAAGATCCTTTTGACCATTTTGCACCTTGTGACATGCCACCGAGACTTAGGTCCTTTTGTCCACGAAACGAAACGTAACGAAATGTATCGAAACGTGACGAAACGTGACGAAACGTGACGAAACGTATCGAAACGTAACGAAACGAAACGTAACGAAACGTAACGAAACGTAACGAAACGTAACGAAACGTAACGAAACGTAACGAAACGTAACGAAACGTAACGAAACGTAACGAAACGTAACGAAACGTAACGAAACGTAACGAAACGTAACGAAACGTAACGAAACGTAACGAAACGTAACGAAACGTAACGAAACGTAACGAAACGTAACGAAACGTAACGAAACGTAACGAAACGTAACGAAACGTAACGAAACGTAACGAAACGTAACGAAACGTAACGAAACGTAACGAAACGTAACGAAACGTAACGAAACGTAACGAAACGTAACGAAACGTAACGAAACGTAACGAAACGTAACGAAACGTAACGAAACGTAACGAAACGTAACGAAACGTAACGAAACGTAACGAAACGTAACGAAACGTAACGAAACGTAACGAAACGTAACGAAACGTAACGAAACGTAACGAAACGTAACGAAACGTAACGAAACGTAACGAAACGTAACGAAACGTAACGAAACGTAACGAAACGTAACGAAACGTAACGAAACGTAACGAAACGTAACGAAACGTAACGAAACGTAACGAAACGTAACGAAACGTAACGAAACGTAACGAAACGTAACGAAACGTAACGAAACGTAACGAAACGTAACGAAACGTAACGAAACGTAACGAAACGTAACGAAACGTAACGAAACGTAACGAAACGTAACGAAACGTAACGAAACGTAACGAAACGTAACGAAACGTAACGAAACGTAACGAAACGTAACGAAACGTAACGAAACGTAACTAAACGTAACGAAACGTAACGTAACGAGACGTAACGAAACGAAACGTAACGAAACCATCTTTTTCTGTTTGATCTATGGACTTAAGAATCGGACCACGTGATACACGCTAAGGCCCTTATGGCATTGCGCATGATTTTTATATTCGACGTTCATCATTCTCTACGTAATGTCGTTTTTTCCCGTTTAAATCAGACCAACGATAGCTGAGATATTTGCTAAGGCCCTTCTGGCTTTACGCTAAAATTCTCTTGTACGTTAATCTATACCACGATCTCTGCATAACCCTGTTTTCCCCGTTTAAATCGGACCAACGATAGCTGAGATATACGCTAAGGCCCTTCTGGCTTTACGCAAAAATCCTATTCGACGTTAATCTATACCACGATCTCTACGTAATGCCGTTTTTACCCGTTTGAATTGGATCAATAGCAGTGAAGATACGTGCTAAGGCCCTTTTGACATTGCACAATATTTTTCTCTTCTACGTTAATCGTTATTTTCATAATGCCGTTTTTCCCGTTTGAATTGGACCAATAGCAGTGAAGATACGTGCTAAGGTCCTTTTGACATTGCACAATATTTTTCTCTTCTACGTTAATCGTTCTTTTCATAATGCCGTTTTTTCCGTTTAAATCGGACCAATAGCAGAGAAGATACACGCTAAGGCCCTTATGGCATTGCGCATGATTTTTATATTCAACGTTCATCATTCTCTACGTAATGTCGTTTTTCCCGTTTAAATCAGACCAACGATAGCTGAGATATTCGCTAAGGCCCTTGTGGCTTTTCGTTCTGCGCATGATTTTTCTATTCAACGTTAATCTATACCACGATCTCTACCTAATGCCGTTTTTCCCCATTTAAATCGAACCAACGATAGCTGAGATACACGCTAAGGCCCTTCTGGCTTTACACATTATTTTTCTCTTGTATGTTAATCTATACCCCGATCTCTACGTAATGCCGTTTTTCCCGTTTGAATCGGACCAATAGCAGTGAAGATACACGCTAAGGCCCTTTTGGCTTTACCACTACGCAAAAATTCTATTCGACGAAATTTAATCCCCCCACTACCCCGTTTTCCTCTCAGACCGTCTGTCTCACTCTTAGCCATTGAATATGTACCTCTCACTCTTACACGTTGAATTCCCTATGTGTCACAGAACGAACGTTGTTGATCTACTAATATGTACCGACAATGGGGCTCAATTTATTTCAGTATTATTTCTCAGTATTTATCGAACAACGCTATTAAACATTTAACGTCCCCACCGTATCATCCTGCAACTAACGGCTTCGCAGAAAATGCTGTGAAGTCACTAAAACGTAGCATTATGAAGATGATGAAGGAGAGCACTTATAGTGATCCCTGCATGGAAGCAGTTTTGCAAAGATATTTATTCCACTATAGGAACTCAGTACATATCACTACAGGTGTGACCCCTTCAGATTTAGTTTTTAAAGTTAAGGTTAGAAACCGTTTTGATTTACTTTTAGAACAGAAAGCTAACAGTGTTAGACCAGCTACTAGAAAAAGAGAGGAAAAATTTGTAGAGGGAGATAGGGTCTTAGTAAGAGATTATAGATATCCTAATAAGAAGAAATGGGTTGAGGCTATAATAAATGAGGTATTAGGAGATAGGATTTTCCTTTGTAAAATTGTTGAGGAGGACTTGATTTGGAAACGTCATATTGATCAGATATTAAGAGGAAAATTTGATGATTTAAAAGTAAATTCTGAAGTTGATGAATTTGAAAAATTTGGGGCGAATCCTATAATCACCCAGTCTGATTCTGTGACGTCTCCTGCAATAAATGTGTACTGTCCCACTGAACCTGATGTATCTAATGTTAAGCTTGATATTATTGATGGTAAAAAGATAGCAAGTGATATTGGCAAAACTAATAGTGAGAAGGAAGAAAACGGTGATACAGTGGTTACAGAATCAGAAGTGCTTCCTAGTGTTAGGGTCGCGTCTAATCGGCCTAGAAGAGTTATTAAGGCCCCCGAGCGCCTAGATCTTTGAGAGGGAGGTATTGTGATATCGCGAGAAATGGACTATGCCTTAAGTCAAGATGAAGGTTGGCATTTTTGGATATGTCAATGTCAGGTGGCAGTCAAAGCCGTACTTGACATTATATATGTCATTATTTTTTACTGTATTCTTGGAGCTTGTAAAAAAAAGAAATAAAGTTAACTGTTCAATTTATAAAAAGCATCCTTGTACTAATTATTTCAATCGACCTGGTTACTACAGTTGTTAGCTTTATTATACATCTGTCACTGTTTCGTTCGTTATAATTGGCATTAGATTATGTATAACAATATTTTTTGAAAATCGATACCTTTTAATAAAACAAGCATTTGTATATTTTTCTAGTCGATTATCGTAATCAGGCATTATACGTGGAATATTTATGAACATATTATTTAACTATTATGTGATCCAAACTTTCTAAAAAATCTTCTTCTAAAAATAACACATCCATAAAGACAAAAATATGGTAGATATATAACAGAAAGGAACGTTACAGGTACCTCTGTAGCTTACTTAATTTTTTAAGGTCAGGACCTTGCCTTATATATTCCTTTGACAGAAAGGAATGTTTGTGAAATACAAAGTAGATTGAGTAACGTGCGTTTAAGGTAACCTTATATTTAAAGGAACCTTCCTTACCTTAACGAAGAAAAGAGCATTTCTTGAATAATAATAATAATAGTATTTTAAGGGAGATTAAAGGAAGGTTGAAGTAAAGGAAGCTTTTAAGGTCTGTTCAAGAATTCGACTCTTAGATTCTAAGTAATGGCCCTACACTGAGGAAAACGCTTCAGTAAGAAAGTGTTACTACTAAAAAGTTTACTATGGCTATAAAACTTTTTACTGCTACTGTTAGATTTTCTAACAACAACTGTTAGATGTGTTACTAGGACTGTAAACTAAGTTTTAAAGTCCAAATTCTTACCGTGGCAGTAATATTTTTTTACTACTCCAGTTAGAAATAGAATTACTATTATTCGTATTACCATCATAGTAAACCTTTCTTACTGAATCAGTAATTTGTATTACTACCGCAGTTAGACCTTGACTAGTAACATTTTTATAACTACCACCGTAAAACTAGCATACTGAATCTGCAAAATAGTAATATTTTTCTAACAACCACGGTAAGACAGGTTAACAACAAATGTACCGAACCGTTACGATTAATGACGAAGAACTTCGATCATATCCTTTTGCACAGGCTTTGACTTGAGTCGACGATAATCACAGAAGCAGTCAACACGTTCAATCGACGCATCGTGAGCTTAGGTCATAGCGTGCATGAAGAAGTGCGAAGTGCTGCGTAATTTCTATCTGGGGGTATAAATGGTGTAATATTGAATATGGAATATTGTGCATTGTTAACGGAGTGGGAGTTTTCGGACCTAGTTCATAGTTTCGTTGGTAAGTAATTCGAAATAATATACTTGTCTAAATATAGTACCTGTATCCATTTTTATTTATACATTAGTAAAAAAGGCGGGAAATGCATAATGCATGAATGCTTTTATTTCGAATTGAGGATGAGCTATACGGTCTAAAAATGTTTTAACTGCACCGGAGCATATTCGCAGTATCAAAAATGTAATATTTCCAAGAGAAAGTTTTTAGATTAAAATTTATTAAAAATGTTTGGTTAAGATTCACAGAGCAATAAATTTGTTAGATTTAAAAGAAAGCTGTGTTCAATGAGACATAGCGATAGCGATACCAATCGTATCGATCCATATCATTTTTGAGCGTTTCATTTCTACTCTAGTCTCTAACTTTCTGCTGCGATCGCGAAATTTGAGCGGGAAAGCTCATAAAAACAACCTAAAACTCCTAAAACCTATTGCTATTTGAGATTACTTAAAAAATATATCTTAAACAACCTGGTTATGCTTTATATAGTGATAAAAATCATAAAAAACCTTAAATATAAAAATATTGTAGATTGTTGATCAAAACACTTAAGTGACAATAGACAAGTTCACTTTCAGTTGCAAATACTACGTTTCATTAAACTTGAATTGTCGTTCCACACAAATTTAATTTTTATTTTTAGATAAGGGCATTGATGATAATTCCTTTCAATTATTAGATGAAGAAAGCATAAGGCATCTTATTTTAAGAAAAAATTCGAGGAATTTTGTATGACCAAAGAAAACACCATGGTAAAATTGATAAACTTCCGTTCCTGCAGCTTTGGATTAAAATTTTTTTTTGTACCTTATAAAAATTATAAAAACATTTTAGCTCTGCTGTGCTATGCTGATTTCAAAATAAACAATTTTTCTTTTTTTTTTTATTTTGTCAATCCTTTTATGAAAAATTGACCGAAGATTTTCCAGAGGAAAAAATTAAGCAAATCGATTTATTTAGATGAAATTGATTTAATTTTGTGTAAATATTTTTCTTTGAAGCGAAAGATAAAAGAGTTTATTTTTCGAGTTCATGAGAAAAATATTTACCTTTGTTAAACCTATTTCAGCCTTTAATATAAATTATATTTTGGTAAAACATGTTTACCATGATAGTAAGACGTTATTACTGTAACAGTAAACCCGTTTTACTGTAGTAGTAACCTATTATTACTGTAACTGTACAACAATTTTACTATAGTGGCAAAATATTATACCTGTAGCAGTGAAACAGTTTTACTAAATTGGTAAGACATTATTACTGTAACAGTAATACCGTTTTACTGTAGTAGTAAGATAATATTACTGTTACAGTACAGCAGTTTTACTAGAGTGGTTAGATATTATTACTCTAACAGTGAAACCGTTTTA